ATATGGTGTAAATGGGTATATAAGATTAAGTTTAATGCTGATGGAAGTATTGAAATGTACAAAGCTAGGCTGGAAGGGGTACACACAACAAGAAGGTCTCGATTATCATGAAACTTTTTCTCCAGTAGCAAAACTTGTTACTGTTCGAAGTTTACTTGCCCTTGCAGCCATAAAATGATGGTTCTTGTATCAATTGGATGTTAATAATGTATTTTTACATGGTGATTTGGATGAGAAAGTATATATGCAATTGGCCCCTAGTTATGTTGGTGATGGGAGTACAAAAGTATGCAGACTTCGCAAAAGTATATATGGACTTAAGCAAGCCTCACGACAGTGGTATTCAAAATTGTCTGGTTTTATCATTCAACATGGTTTCATTCAGTCAAGAGCAGATTATAGCTTATTTACCAGGACTATTCAAGACTCATTTACAACTATTCGAGTATATGTTGATGATGTTATCTTAGCAAGAAATTGTATGAATACTATCAACAATCTCAAGGTTGCTCTTGATGTAAAGTTCAAAATCAAGGATTTGGGAAAGCTGAAGTATTTTTTGGGAATCGAGGTGGCAAGATCAAAACATGAAATATGCATATGCCAGTGAAAATATGCTCTGGACATTTTGGGAGACTCAGGTACAATAGGCTAGCACCATTCAAGATACTTCTTGATCAAAATGTTAAGCTGGCCAAAGATAAAGGGGATTTACTTGCTGATCTTTCTATCTATAGAAGGTTCATAGGGCGGTTGTTGTACCTAACTATAACAAGACCAGATTTATCCTACTCAATTCAGTTATTGAGTCAATATATGGACAAGCCTAGGATACCACATCTCCATGCAACACACAAAGTATTAAGATATCTCAAAAGGACACCAGGTCAAGGCTTATTTTATTCATCTCCAGCTGAAAGGTTACTCAAATTCAGATTAGGGAGCTTGTCCAGATACTGGGAGATCTGTGACATGTTATTATGTTTTCATAGGATCATCACTAGTGTCAAGGAAGTTGAAGAAGCAAAATGTGGTTTCAAGATCATCCTCTGAAGCTGAATACTGAGCAATGGCACATGTCTGTTGTGAACTGACATGGATGAGATTTCTATTTGAAGCTCTGCACATTGAACACAACTAGGAAACAATATTATACTGCGATAACAAGTCTGCCATCTATATTGCCACAAATCCCGTTTTCCATGAAAGAACCAAGCACATAGAAATTGAATGTCATCTTGTTTGAGACAAAATACAAAGTAGAAGCATTACTACTGAGTATGTTCATACTGATTCTCACGTGGCAGACATGTTAATTAAGGCCTTGAATTCCTCGTCTTTACTCACACATGAACAAAATGGGAGTAGTTGATACCTACTCTCCATCTTGCGGGGGACTGTTAAATGGTGAAGAACAACCCAAGCAGCTGGCAGATGACATGTCCATACAGTCATGAACACAAGTGATATTAGCATCCAACAAAGAGGGAAACATCTAGAAGCGAAGGTGAACGTTACGCAGTTCGACCCTAACAACACCTAGAGGGGGTGAATATGCGTAATATGCGAAATTTAAAATTACT